TCTGATCAATTTTTTTCTTATATTTGAAACATCCAGCACTTTTTCCAACATGACGTTCTCCTGCAGTGTAATGAATATGCCTAATGCAGGTACTACAGTGTTAAAAAACAGATTAAATAAAAAATCAATCAGGTACTGTCAGTATGATATTTTTCCATCCATTTTGGGATTATTTGGCCTGTTTTCTAATACCTTTGATTTGAGTCAAAGTATTATCATTATTAATATCAAAAACTAAAATTTAATGGTCAGAAAGCCCAATCAGGATTGAGATCTTTGTTATTTTTGGTGTTTACCACGAGGTTGTATATATTATAGTAAGAAGTCACCCACTAACGGGATTCTACCAACAGAAGCAAACGGTGTCCAATGCAGAGAAGAAACCTAAAAACGTACAAGCTATACTCATCCTAGTCCCTGATCTTGGAAAAATGCAGGCCCAGCAGTGGAGGCCTGAACAGGTAAAGGCTCAACTTGCCCTGCGACACAGGTCCTATGCACACCTGTACTGATGAACAAAACCAAAAACACATCACAGCATTTACCTCTACCAGACAAACTAGAAACCTGGGGGAGAGGGGACAACTGATAGTCAAACGAGCATACATCCAGGACGGTAGGAAACTATTCTAGCATAGTAAGCAGCCTTCAGTAAAAAGCAGTATTTTGACTCCTACTCTTAATTCCCCTCTCCAATTGGTGCTCATAGATACTTGCGCACGGCTCCTTTGTGTTGCCACAACATTGAATTGGATCCAGAGCCTGTCAGTTAACCATGGCAGAAGCTGCTAAGATGGTTGTAGAGAAGTCTCCAGCTGCAGTGCAAGTTTGGTCTCTTTTCCCAGCAAGCCAATTCGTGACACTTCAACAGCAAGGCCTATGGCAATGAATTTGAACTCGAAGAGCTGCTTTTTTATTGGTCAAAAGAAAGCATACTGAAAATAGAACATGATGGCTTTTGTGTATTCCCCAAGATGAATAATGCATAAGACACAATTCACTGTAGCATAACTTAGAATTGACTCTGATGGAGGGATGATGTGTTTTTCTTGCTGCTTATGTTTCCAGTGTCCCTTTCCTTGTAGGATATTTGGGTACTGCACTCCTGTAACTGTCTAAGGCAATATTCTTCTGCCCAAACTAGCATGCTGTTAGAAATATCTTAAAATATAAAGCCTGCATGGCAGATGCATTCTCAGCTATTACATTAACAATAAGCTATTTGTGCTAAATTTCTAAATATTTAAACGCGTATGAATCCACAAATGACACAAAACATGTAAATAAAACTAAAATTTTGTAGAGAAAATGCTCCAGATGGAGCCATTATGCTACTACCGGGCTACAGCATGAAAGGATTAAGACAAAGAACAAAAAATAGAAAGAAAGCTAAATAGATGTGCAAGTGTCACTTTTCAATATTTGCAATAGCTCTGTAGGCATACAATGGCACAATGTTCTAGCAAGTATGAGAGATGAAGCAAGGGAAAAATAACTATAAGCCGTAGAAAGAAGAAAAAAAAGAAATGAAGCTGAAGTTAATGTGGAAAAGAATCATCTGCAATTTTATTCACAATTTTTAAAAAAAAATACTGATTTCTGGACTCTGTGTACTTTGGAGTTCTTGATGCCATCGGTTCTTGGAGAAGCTATGCTCATTAGAGATGACTAAAATTACATGTGCTACCTCGACCTTCCCATATAAGCAACTTTAAGGGGAAAAAAGAAAATGATTTCCTTTAAAGATGAAAGAGCACGGTTTAATGAAAAGTAGGATTTCCCCCGCTCCTCTTCTCCAAAAATTGGTTTCTGCTTTTGCAATGAAGCATGTCTGGTTTGACAATCACAAGTTTTCAGTGGAATTGGACCAACTTAAAAAAAAAAAAAAAATCAACAAAACTTTATAGGCCATTTTCCCTCACAATTTTAATACAGGTAATATTCAGCTCTTATTTAAAAATGGGCAAGTGCCTCTGAATAGCTTAGACAAGGAATATAGATGCCCTACTAGCATTGCCCATGTTTGACTGGTTTCAGGGACTGTATGTCATCATTGAGGCATTTGAAAGGATGACAAGCTAGAAAATAAGTCTACCAACTTTAATTTTTGTTCATGGGCTCATGGGTACAAGTGATGGTAGTGTTCAAGTATTGTCATAGAATCGTCTGCCCATTGAACTGTTTTGGGAAGCAAGCAAGTGAATTAAATATATACCTGGCATGTTTTTCAAGTGATTCCAATTCCAGGACTTCCAAGCAGCAAACAAACAGGCAAAGCAAAAGGCAAGGACAAGATACTCATACAGAACTCAGCACCTTGGGTGTATTGGTGGGTCATCTCCCAGAAAAATTGGATTCCAATATTTCATTCCAGATTATTAAGGAGCTTTCAAGGGCCAGGAGAATATGTCTATTTTAATAAAACTATCATACAGGTCAAATTTAGGTTTTAAAAAAATTGGTAGAATCTCTTAGGGCAACTAGTTCTTATATGGAGAAACAGCACGGTTCATGGAAAACAGCACTGAGAATGAAAAAACTAGAATTTCTTTCCTGGTTCTGACATCTAACTTCTGTTTAACCTTGGGCAACTTCTCCATTTGGTTTCCTCAGATGTAAAATAAGGATGAATACTTCCTTCGGAAAGAAGTTGAGCATATACAAACATACGTTACTACAGAGAAGCTAAATATTACCAATGCCAACTTGCGCCAGTTTTATAGGGGCAAAAAGTACATTTTCTGCTACCCTCCCCTGCCTTATCCACCTGCCAGCTGTGGATAACATAATTGCCAGCATATTTTTTTATGTTTGTGCCCGTGGTTCCTGTGAGGCAAGGTGGCCACCTACCTTGCTTAGCCAGAAAGCTGGCTACTGATAATTGCATTATAGATCTCCTTATCATAAAACAGAAGAAAGTAGTTGCTCATGAAGTACTAGAAAAATATTCCCAGAAAAAATATTTTTTTGCAATAGATGTTGAAATTAAACAGAAAATGTTCTATAGATTTTTTTCTTATTCTGGTTTCATGAAGACTTCAAACCAAATATTATTGCTGCTCCCCTGTGCACACAGTTTTCATCTTCCTCTCCTCATTAACAAGCCCTCTGTCACCTTTTTGAACCCTCACCCATCCCACAATGCCAAAAGACCTCCCCGTGCCTGACCTCTCTTGCACACAGCTACTGATCTAGCTGGCTCTGTCCTTCTGCTTGCCTCATGCTGTGCAAGAGAAGGATGATAGATTATTCTCAGCATGAGGTCCTGACAAACCTGTCCTCCCACAAAGCTGGCTCCTTATTGAGGTGGCACTTAGGAATCAGCAACTGTGTAACCTGGAGATACATTAATAGCACAGAGGGAGAGAAGGTGCTAGGCAGGAGCAGGTCAAAAAAATTATTCCACAAAAGATTTTGAACCTGGCCTTTCTTCCCAGCAGTGACAAACTTGCCATTCTGGTAACTACATTTTAAACTTTAGCAAATAGCCGATTTCAAGCGTATGAACTAACTGGAATTAGATGGTGCCCAGAATTAGATACACTTGTACATTATAAACATTTTTAAGGCTCTGTGAATGATGTACAAAACTGGCATATGAAAACTAGCAACTGAGAGAAACTTCTTACATCCACCCAGCAGAGAATTAGCTCCCTCAAAGAGTTCATACGACAGTCTCATAATTAGGAGGAAACAATATCAATGCAAGTCTATAGAAGCATGCGAGAAAAGACAAAGCTATATCAACAAAAGTCTATAAAGCAACACTTTTTTAATCTAAAGAAAGGCAAAATGAGATCAATACAAGTCAATGGGACTGGTATGATGCGTGGAAGCACAAAATAATGCTAATTAGTACAAAAGATTGCCAAGACTGACTATTTTAGACTGAACAATATGGTAAAGCATTATGTGAACAATTGACTTCTTTCCAATGCTGCACAACTTTTTCCCTTCCCAAATCACAATGCTGTTTTGTTTACATCAATTATTTTGTTTTTATTAGCTGCATAAAGATCTATGAAAATCCTTGCCTTAGAGTAGTGAAATCTATATCCATCAAACAGTGCCTTACATGCATTACATCTTTCCAAACCTATTTCAGCTTATGCCGGCTGCTACAAGAGGTTTTCTAACCACCAGAGCAGCCAGGTTCTGCAGCATCCTTCTAATCAGAGTAGTGAAGGTAAAAAAAATCCTCCTGTTTTTTAGATGGAACCCAAGAAGCGTATGAAAGGTTTACATGCCAGAGAATTTGCAATAAAAGAAGACAGATTTCCCTGCAGGTTGTGCTATGATAAAAAAATGCTATATAGGAAACAAAATGTTTCTAAGAAGTATTTCAATAGTTACATATATGTATGTTACAATTAATTACTTAAAGATAAGTCTTGAAGTGGCATGCCTGTCCAGACAAAGTAATTTTTGTTCAGTTTTGCTATCTGCAAAGGCATGATCTCCTTGAATTTTTAGACACATTGTTGTCTTTACATATCTTTTGTATTTATTTTTCAAGAATATTATAGTGAAGATGTTAAATGGAAAAAATGTTCATTGTAACAATGCATTTTAAAAATTGGTTTTCTGGAAAGTAGATTATAAATGAATATGTTGGCACCAGAAACTTGGTTTGAAGGACAGTATTCATTCAACAGGGAAAAAAAAACCATGCTAGCTCATCTATAATTTTATTGAGCTTAACACAATCCAAATTCTAAAGGTCACATAATGTATATATTTTATAAACTGTTTGAATGCACATCATCTACATATCAATGTTTATTTGGCAAGCCGTGCTGTGCTGAAACAACTGAGTTAAACACCAGTGTCTATGAAATAAGCTATTTCTGGTAGTTCAGTCACCACTGTTATTAGCTTAATTACAATACAAATACATAAAACACAAACAATATTCTTCCCACACCTCGATTTCATATTATTAACTTTGACTTGGGGATTTTGTAGCAAATTATTGCTGCTATCAAGTTTTAAAAACTCACCTAATAAGGATCTCCAGACTCCTCTCTTTTTTGGAGCTCCTTGGAAGCTCAACTGTGGTCTGTCACAGAGCTGTGCACCCAGAAAGCAGCGTGCAGATGAAGAAACCCTCCATCTAGATCCGAGAAAAAAAAGTTTGAT